TGATTCCCAGACAGTGTGATTCCCGGGAGAGCTGACAGTGTGATTCCTTGGAGAGCAGACAGTGTGATTCCCGGGAGGGCTGACAGTGTGATTCCTGGGAGAGCAGACAGTGTACAAGGAGTATGCTGGGGCAAGGGTTTTGATCAGTTTGTTCACACTTAGTCATTGGTTACTTTTTGTTAATGTGTGTACCACCTGGGATTTTCAAATTCCACGTATTCCATTGTTTTGAAAACTCTTGTGAATCTTTGGATTCATCGGGGTTCGAATGGTAAATGGATCTAGGGTGTTTGATCCAACTGATCCTTTCTGTAGAAAAGTCACTGAATTCAACCTTTAACTCTGCTTTCTCTCCACAGATGTTGCCATGCCTGCCGAGTTTCTCCAGTAATTTCTGTTTTTGTTTCAGATTTCCAACACCTGCTGTTCTTTGTCTTACTTTGCAGTGAACAGGTATTACTGAACTGCTTTCCTCATTTTTCCATCCATTCATAGCACCTTTTCTTTTCCTATCCATGTCTATCCTTATGTGTGTAGTGGGGAGCCTGTAAAGGGTTTTAAATATGTGGATGGTTTATATTAATTTACCTGCATCCAGTGTCTATTTACTTGTAATTAAAAATAATTCTTAGTACAGAAATATGGTATATGTTTTCCATCAACCTGGATCTGAAGAAGGGTCTAGGCCCAAAACATCAGCTTTCCTGCTTCTCTGATCCTGCTTGGCCTGCTGTGTTCATCCAGCTCTATACCTTGTTATCTCTGAATCTAGCAAGTTGGGGAATTTTGCATATTCTTTAATATCTTTAACTTTTGTGATGTCTCTGGGAAAAACAGGGCTTATTGCCAGCACATGATCCCAGTGAGGACTGACATAGGTGGCAAGTAATATTCGTGCCACACAAATGCCAGGCAATGACAATCTCCAATATGAGATCATCTAACCACCGTCCCCTGACTTTCAATGATGTTAGCATCACTGAATCTCCCGCTATTAATATCCTGGGCCCACCAAACTGAACTCGGATTGCCATGTGAATAAAGTAACTACCAGAGTAGGTCAGAGGCTAGGAATCCTGAAGCCAGTAACTCACTTCATGACTCCTCAAACCCTATCCTCCATCTACAGGACACAAATCAGGAGGGTGATGGAATACTCCCCACTTGCCTGGATGAGTGCAGCTCCAACAACACTCAAGAAACTTGACACCATCCAGGACAAAGCAGCCCGCTTGATTGGCACCACATCTACAGACATCCACTCCCTCCACCACCGACACTCAGTAGCAGCAGTTTGTACTGTCTACAAGAACTGCAGAAATTCACCAAAGATCTGTAGACAGCACTTTTCAAACACATGATCACTTCCATCTAGAAGGACAAGGGTAGCAGATACATGGAAACACCACCATCTGCAAGTTCTCCTCCAAGCCACTCACCCTCCTGACTGGGGAATATATTGCCGTTCCTTCACTGACGCTGGATCAAAATCCTGGAATGCCCTCCCCAATGGCACTGTGGGTCTACCTATAGCTCATGGAATGCAGTGATTCAAGAAGGCAGCTCACTACCAACTTTTCAACGGCAACTAGGGACGGGCAATAAATGTCGCCCCAACCAGCGATTCTAACGTTCCATAAATGTTTATAGTAAAACACTACACATCGACCCAATCTCTGCAGAGAACACACGTCTGCGGACTTACCCCGTCCTTGTTAACCCTTAAGAATTGGATCACTATGTGTTAGACACCTCCCAGTCCCAAACATTGCTGACCATTTTGTGCCAGACCAATAACTTTGGCCACTGATGCCATACCAGTGGTCGTGGTCAATTGCGGAGTTTCTTGCTGTTGGTTCTCTACATTTGGAACAGACCTGTGTGTGGAAGCTCTTGTTCGGACAGCATTTGGCTTCCTCCCTCTCGGATGTCTTTTGAGGCCTTCGATTCAGCTTCCCTCCTCTTTGTTCTCGGTTCTGCCTCTGTGGTTCTTTGTTCCAAAGCTGCTTGTGGGGAAAGCCCGTGGGGAAGCTGTTCTTGCAGAAGCTTATTATTGAAAAAGCCACACTCTGGTGAGATCAGGGCTGGCAGTTAAAACTTGATGTTCTTTTCTGAACTTAATTGGTTTTCTGATGGTTACGAGTGTGTGTGAATGGGTTTTGATCAGGGTTGAATGTCAGAGTATCTCTATAGGCCCCATACTTCCTGCGCAGTGTAGGCCGAGGTGTAAAAGCTGTCTCGGGCTTGAGTCTGTTGGTTTGGTCATTTGTTGTTTCAGAGAGGAGGTGTAAACTGGGATTCCAGGCTGAACAACAGTTTGAGAGAGCAGTCTCTGTTCTGCTGGTTGTGTTGTGTATTCCCACAGAACTCAGTCCACCTGCCCCCATTGTCTTGTTAAAAGTTTTGAAGAGTGCAGTGTTTTGTCAAGTACCTTAGGTATTGGAAAGTCCAAAGATTTGTCCAGTATTTTAAATGAGATTTCTGCTCAATCCTACATGCTTCTGAACAGAGGTCTGTCCTCATTGTGTGACAGCTACAGTAGAAACAAATGCCAGCAGATTGGGACATTTCTTCCTCAGACAACTGCAGAGATGTGGCAGTGAGGTGCTTGCAAGCTTGTGCTCCTGACTGTAACTCAGCTAACATTCCAATTGAGCTGTCAGTATCTGAGCTGGCTGTGGGGCAGGAGGCAGCATTGCCAGTGTTGCCTCTCAGGCCTTGGAAGTCTCCTCCTGAAAAGTGCAGGAGGACATTTCTTGTGGAGCATCCTACTTGACGACTGAAGCATTTGGATACTCCACTGGTACCTGTAAAGAGAGAGAGCATCATGATCAAGGGTTAGGAGTGATACGAAATGACTGACGCTGACAGCAGGGTTACTGTAAGATATGTAGTGTAATGAAGAGTGACTCAATTTGAGGAACAGGGATGTCCCACCTCAACACTCCCAGTCTTCTCCTGCAAAGGCCAGGATTCTCTTCTCATTGGGGTTAAGGAGACAAATGTCAGGCACCCCTCTCTCGTGTGGGTCCTTTCTGTCTCCTCTTGGACTGTCCTCTCCTGGAATGAGAGGAAGGGTTGATGAATGCGATTAAAGTGGGTGGCACAGCTGTTAGTGCTGGTTCAAGTGGGTAATAGGTGATGAGATGCCCCATGTGAATAAGTAGGCAGCACAGAGGGCAGACAGGGTTTGTAATGTCGGGCTTATGGCTGAAAGCAGCACAAGATGGCTGAAAGTAATTTACAGTTGATTTAGAATAGCTTGCTTGATGTAGTTTATGTAATTTAGAACAATGGTAGATCTATAGACTGAATATATATCCAAGGTAACAGAATTGAGACAGCACACTAAGGATCATACAGAGTTCTGTTACAAACACGCAGCTACAGTTGTTTATACAGACAAAGCTGGTTAAGGATACCCTATCTGCTGATAGAGCAGTTTTATACTTAATTACTCTGGAGGCTGAGATCTGTCACACATCATAGAAAAGGTCTATTTACCTTAGTTAAGATTTCCAAACAGCCATACTGATAGATTTTGAATTAGTTATAGATTTTGAATACATATACATATAACCAAAAAAAAATTAAGCATTAAAGCATTTTCACTAAAAATCCTACAAACAAGAAAGCCTAAGATGGTAAGGGAAGGCCTCCCCAATATTGCTAGTTCGAAGGACTGAATTACAGCTGCAGAAGTTATCAGTGTTGGAATGTTGTTAAATACAAAATACAATGCTCAAGGAAAAACATAAGGCTGGCACGGTGGCTTACAGTGCCAGGGATCCAGTTTCAATTCCAGCCCTGGGGAACTGTCTATATGGAGTTTGCAAATTCTCCCTACGTTCGCATGGGTTTCCTCCGGGTGCTCAGGTTTACTTCCACAGTCCAATGATGTGCAGGTTAAGTGGATTCGCCATGCTAAATTGCCCATAGTGTCCAGGGATGTGCAGGTTAGGTGGATTAGCCGTGGGAAATGCAGGGTCACAGGAATACGGTGGTGGGGGTGGAGTCTGGGTGTGATGCTGTTTGGAAGGTCAGTGAATACTCAATGGGCTGAATGGCCTGCTTCCACACTCAAGGAATTCTGTGGTTTAGTAAACACTGTAAAATCATGGGAATATCTGGGGCTGTCCATACGGCTGTCCATCATCGATCATACAGTCACATAATTAATTTGATTCGGTGTAAGTGTAAATAATTAATAATATGATCGGTCTGTAATTGTTAAAGGTGGGATGAAATTATGTATAAAAATGTATGTCTTGCCTTTGTTCAGGAATGAAATTTTTGACCCCTGGGGTTTCTTCCCTCTGGTGTAATTTCAATAAAACTCTTTGACCATGTAAGTGGACCCTGGGTGTCAAGTGATTTATTTGGTCATTCCGTCACAACAGTAGTGTGAGAGGTTGGGGTGGAAAATTGAGAGAGGGAACATATTTCATGCTATATTGAGAGTGGTAGAGCATTAGATTTGGTGGGAGGTAGTGCAATAGCAGGGATGGAGTTGTGTGAAGTGGCAGAGTGAAAGTGGTGGCACTTATCCTCGTGGAGCAGCAAAGGTCACTAACCTCCTTACAGCACTCTCGGGCTTTCCTCCAGACAGTTGGGACTGCACTGATCTAGGTGGCAACCTTGGAGCAGATTGGCAGGATCTGACGGAATGGTACCCTCTGCTGGTCTTGGGGGAACAGAAAGTCTTTCCTCTGCATCACCTCATCCACCAGGACCTCCAGGTTTCTGCCTGCAAAGCAAGTGCCAATTTTTGCTTGTCTGCCAAGTCAAGGCAAAGTATCAGGAACCATGCAGGCCAGGTTCTGACTTCCAGTGCTCACCTGGGCATGCAATGGTGTTTTAAAGATGGCATGGGTGTCAGGAATGCCAGTCCATTTCAGGATATCTAGTGAGTGGCAAGTTCTTCTGGCTACGGTGAGGTGGGAGAATCAGGCTGGCAATGGATGACAGGGACATCGTAGTCACATGGAAGGTAGTTTGGCGAGTTTGGGATCATATGGTGAGAAATCTCGCCAGGTCTACCATCCACGGAACTTAACAAAAGTGACATGGCCGAAATATTGGAAGATTCAGCTCAAAACATTTATACGAAAGAACCAAGACATATTCACCATTTATTTTGTGTGTTAAGCACAGATAAAGTGTAACGTGTTGTCCAGAACAGTGGTAGTGTAGGATTTGTTAAGAAATTATCAATGAACAGAGTTGACTTATCCCATGGAATGATATGGCTGGAGTGAAGGCTGTAACTTCACCAATAATCACCAAGTGAGGCTAAACAGGTGGGACAGTTAAAGGAACAAGAATCAGTATTTTTTCATTGTGTGTGGTGGCCAGAGCAATAGCTAAACAGAGTCCACCACTAGAGGTCACAGTAATCCTGTAAGCATATGTTAGGGTAGCTGAAACTTGATTTAAGAATGGGGATGATTAAGAAGGAGGTGTTTGGCATGTCTTCAGTAATTGAGACTCAGGAAACAGATTCAAAGTCAAATAAGTTATCACAGAGACCTCACTCTGAAGCTGAGGCAGAAGGAATGGCAATATATTTCCAAGTCAGGATGCTGAGTGGCTTGGAGGGAAACTTGCAGATGGGGTGTTCCTATTTATTTGTTGCCCTTGTCCTTCTAGATGGAAATGGTGTGAGTTTGGAAGGGTGCTGTCTAAGGACAGTTGGTAAATTTCTGCAGTGCATCTTGCAGACGATACACTGTGCAGCTACTAAGCATCGGTGGTGGGAGAGTGAATATTTGTGGATGTGATGCCAATCAAGCGGGCTGCTTTGTTCTGGATGGTGTCAAGCTTCTTCATTGAAGCTTGAAGTTATCTTCAATACTAATATTCAAGAGGAAACTGATGGGCCAGTAAGTGGTTGGGTTGGATTTGTTCTGCATTTTGTGTACAGGACATTCCTGGGTAACTCTCCATATTTTTTTCTTCTTTATTCATTCACAGGATGAGGGTGTCACTGGCTAAGGCAGCATTTATTGCCCATTCCTAATTGCCCAGAGGACATTTAAGAGTCAACCATATTGTTGTGGGTCTGGAGTCACAGGTAGACCAGACCAGGTAAGGATGACAGTTTCCTTCCCTAAAAGACATTAGTGAACCAGATGGGTTTTTCCGACAATTGACAATGGTTTTGTGGTCATCATTCGGTTCTTAATTTCAGATATTTATTGAATTCAAATTCCACCATCTGCCATGGCAGGATTTGAGCCCGGGTCCCCAAAACGTTATCTGGGTCTCTGGATTAACAGTCCAACAGTAATACCACTAGGCCATCGCCTCCCCATATTGTTGGGTAGATGCTAGTGTTGTAACAATAGTTGGCTAGGGGAGCAGCAAGTTCTGGAGCACGAATCTTCCGTACTATTGCTGTAATGTAGGCTGTATCTTTTGCAGTATCTGGTGCCTCCAACCCTTTCTTGATACCACGTGGAGTGAATCGAATTGGCTGAAGACTGGCAGCTGTGATGCTAGGACCACTGAAGGAGGTCGAAATGGATCATTCACTCAACACTTCTGGCTGAAGATTGCTGCGAAAGTTTCAGCCTTATCTTTCGCACTGATGTGTTGGGTTTTTCCATCATTGAAGATGTTTGTGGAGCCTCCTGTTCCAGTGAATCTTTTTCTGTGCTTTAACAATTCAGTGACAACCACACAAGATGGTGACCCCTCCCCAGTCAGTGTGGAGGGAGAGCAGCGGGCAGGAAAGGTTAGCAGTTGGAGAGAATGAGGTGGTGACAACCTTTGAGTTCTTTTTGTTATATGATGCTGAAGGTTGTAGTTCATTACCTTTGTGAGTTGCCTATGCAGAGGCAAAGTTACACTGAATGATGGCACCGTGAGCATGGGCTAGCAGAGACAAGGTGGTGCTGCTTACGTTTGTGGACTTCAGGAAATTACTGACCTAATTTCCTGCAATGCTTGATGCTGCATATATGGGAGACAGTGGTCCTGGTCCACTCTACAACCTCTGCCCTCTGGCTGCCAGTGCCAACTGCGAAGGTGGTCTTTCTCTCAGTGACACCATCCAGTGGCACCTGCAGAGGACCCTCAGTGAACCAGGGAGCCATCGCCTATCCTTCCTGACTGGCATTTTTGGTCCTCTGCATAGGTAGAAGGACTACAACAGACAGATGGGGAAATCCTGGCTTTTATCCTCTGAAGAGGTGCTTTCAAAAAGCTATACTCTAAACATGCCACCAGAACCTTTGACCCTGGAAGGGCCAACCAGAGGTAAGAACTTCCCCCAAATGGCCTAGAGTTTACCGACTACCTTACACCGTATCTCACGTGCATAGGTAATGATCAGTAAAATAGGTAAGCAGAAAAGGTAACTCACAACATCCACCCCCACACTGGGCAATGGAGGAGGTGATGCTGTTAGCTTATCTTCGGGGCATACTTTAGCTTTAAACTGCTGCAGTTGCTGGTCCGTACTGTGATTAACGATTAATGAGAAGCATCAACGTTGGATATTTGACCACCCCTTGATGTAACTGACCCAGGATTGGGAAATCCTGAGCTACATAGCTCCCTGTTGTTTCACGTTGTTGCTTACTTCTGTCGTTTTGCATGAGACCAAAGCTGACCGGAGAAAATGAAGTGCGGTGTTGTGTTGCTGTTTGCTGTGCTCTCCCTGAGAACTGGAGCTGCCATCCCACTGAGTGAAATTAACTATGATCAGGTTCAGGAAAACTTTGATTTGAATCAGGTAATTAATGTTAGATTTAACACAGTAACTCTGGCTTCCTGGGTTTTGGAGACTGTAGTCCTTCTTTTAAATTTAGCTAAAGGACGTGGGCATCTGCGGCTGGGCCAGCATTTATTGCCCATCCCAAGTTGTCCGAAACAAGGTGGTGTTGATCTTGAACCTCTGCAGTCCATGTGCTGTAGGTAGACTCACAATTCTGTTAAGGACGGAATTCCAGGATTTTGACTCAGTGACACTGAAGGAACAGCAATATATTTCCAAGTTAGGATAGTGAGTGGCATGGAGGGGAACTTGTAGGTGATAACGTTCCTTCTTAAATATATTCAGTCACTTATCCTCTGATGCCTCTGTGGTACAGAATTTCATAGATTCATCACCTTCTAAATCTGATATGCCCTGTGTTTTGAGACTGTGACTCCTTTTTCTACATTCCCCAAAGAGATCTACATCCAATCTGTCCAGTCCTGTCAGAACTGAATGTTTCAATCAAATCCCCCTCATTCTTCTATACACCAATGAATACTGACTCAGTTACTCTAATCTCTCCTTAACGGACTATCCTCTGGCCCAGTAACTAGCCTGACAAACCTTCACTGCACTTCCTCTATGACAGGTATATCTTTTGGGAGACCAAACTGTTCATAGTATTCCAGGAACAAAAGCAGTTGTTGGGAACACTCAGCAGGCCTGGCAGCATCTGAAGAGAGAAAGCAGAGTCAAAAGTTTCAGATCCAGTGACTTCTTCAGACGCTGCTTCAAGGGTCACTGGACCCGAAATGTTAACTCTGCTTTCTCCCCACAGATGCTGCCAAACCTGCTGCGTTTTCTGAGCAATTTTTGTTTTTGTTTCTGATTTCCAGCATCTGCAGTTCTTTGTTTTTTTTTTGCACAGTATTCCAGGAGTGGACTCATCAAGGGCCTGTACAGCTGCAGTTAAGATTTCCTTATTCCTGTATCCAAACCCTCTTCCAATGAATGCTGTTTGCCTACCTTACAGTGTGTTACAGCTACATGCTTGTTTTTAATGACCAGTGTACAAGGACACCCATGTCCCTTTGTACATCAACATTTTCCAATCTCTCACCATTTAAATAACAGAATGTCATTCAGTTCGATGTGCTAAATTATATAACTTCACATGTATCCACACTAAATTGTATCTGCCATATATTAGTCCATTCACTCAACTTGTTTAAATCACTTTGATGCCTCTTTACTTCCTTCTCACCCTCACAATTCAATTTGGCTTTGTGTTATTAGCAAACTTGGAAATATTAAATTTCCTCATCCAAATTGTTCATAAAAATTAGGAATAGCCCCATGTGGCAAAAATTCCACCCAAACATTCTGAGAGAGGAGATTGGTTCGGTGAGAAGACAAAAATATTGGCAGATGGAGTCGAATGTGGAATATTCTAAGGTTGTGCTCTTTGATAGGAAAAACAGAATACTATTTAAATGGAGAGATACTGCAGAATGCTGCAGTCAAGAGGGATCTGGGTGTCGTTGTACATAAATCACAAAAACTCAGCCTGTAGGCACATAAGTAATTAGGAATATCTAAACTTGGCCTTTTGTGGGGAACACAGAGATTAGGGGAGCTGCAGATAGTGAGGAAGATTGTCAGAGAAATGGAGATGGAATTTAATCCAGGCAAATGCAAGGTGATGCATTTTGGAAGGTATAATGGAGGAGGGAAGTATGCAGTAAATGGCAGAAGCCTTAGTAGCATAAATATACTGAGGGATCTAGGTGTACAGGTCCACAGGTCCCTGAAATCGGCAACACAAGTAGATAAGGTGATGAAGAAGACATATGGCATGCTTGCCTTCATCAGTCCGGAAATAGAGTATGAAAATTGGCAAGTCATGTTATAGTTGTATAGAACTTTAGTTGGTCCACATTTGGAATATTGTTCATAGATCATAGAATCCCTACAGTGTGGAAACAGGCCCTTCGGCTCAACAAGTCCACATTGACCCTCAGAGCATCCCACCCGGACCCATTCTCCTATAACCCAACTCATCTACACATCCCTGAACACTACAGGCAATTTAGCGTGGCCAATCCACCTAACCTGCACATCTTTGGACTGTGGGAGGAAACCAGAGCACCCAGAGGAAACTCACACAGACACAGGGAGAATGTGCAAACTCCACACAGACAGTCGCCCGAGGGTGGAATCGAGCCCGGGTCCCTGGTGCTGTGAGGCAGCAGTGCTAACTACTGAGCCACTGTGCTGCTCTCATCCCACTACCTATTGCATACAGTTCTGGTTGCTGCATTACCAGAAGGATGTGGAGGCTTTTGAGGGGGAACAGAAATGTTTTACCAGAATGTTGCCTGGTTAGGATGTTATTAGCTATGAGGAGTAATTGGACAAACTCAGTTTATTTTTAATTGAACATTGGAGGCTGAGGGAAGTTTACAAAATTATGAAAGACATGGATAGAAGTAATAGTCAGAGTCTTTTTCCCAGGATAGAAATGTCAATTATGAGAGGACATAGGTCTGAGGCAAAAGGGAGTAAGTTTAAAGGAGATGTGAGAGGCAAGTTTTTTACCGAGAGCTTGGTAAGTACCTGGAATGTGGTGCCAGAGGAGGTGGTAGAAGCTGATACAATAGCAATATTTAAGATCCATTTGGACAGTTATATGAACAGGGAGGGAATTGGGGGAATACGGTCCGTGTAGAAGCAAAAGGTTTAGAAAGACATCACTTGTAGGCACAATCTTGGTAGGTCAAAGCGTCTGTTCCTCTGCTGTTTGGTTCTCAAGTGTAAGGAAGATGGAATATAATAATAGGAAAGCTTTGCTACAATTATCCAGGTCATTGGTGAAACTGCAACTGGAATACTGTGTACATTTTTGAGTCCTTACTTAAAGAGGGACATGTTTGCATTAAAAGAGTCCAATGACAACTCACTCAGCTGATTCCTGGGATGAAGAGGTATCTTTTCTCTCAAAAGATGGTTAAACTTTGGACATCTCTCCCCTCAGAGAGCAGTGGAAGCTGCATCATTGAATATCCTCGAGGCTGAGTTAGAGAGATTTTGATCTTTGAGGGTTACAGAGATTAAACAGGAAAGTGGAGTTGAGGCTACAACCAGATAGGCCACAATCTCATTGAAAGGTAAAACAGACTCGATGGGCTGAATGGCGTACTCCTGCTCCTATTTGATCTTAGGTTCAATATCCATTGCTGGATGAGCAGAAATGACCTCCACTTAAACCTTGGGAAGACTGGAGCCATCATTTTTCATCACTGCTCCAAACTCCCAACTCCATCTCGCTCCCATGAAAATCTCTGTGGCTGAACTAGACTGCTCTCAACCTAAGTTTCACACCTTGTCAGAGAGGAGCTTGCAAGCACATGTTTGCAACATCACTCAATCGGCTAAATTTCAGCCCTGTAATTGATTTCAATCCTGCCTGAGTCCCTGCCTTGCTGAAAGCCTCATTCATGTCATAGTTATCATTAGACCAAATAATTCCAACACACTCCTGGTCAGCCTCTCACATACTTCAGAAACTCCAATTCCTCCAGAACATGGTTCCTGTGTCCTTGCTTCCGCTAGAATCATTGAAAACTTACAATGTGGAAGCCATTCGGCTATATCGAGTCCACACTGACCCCTCGAAGAGCATCCTACCCAGACCCATCCGTGTAACCCTGCATATCCTATGGCCGATCCACTTAACCTGCACATCTTTGGACCATGGGATGAAACTGGAGCTCCTAGAGGAAACCCATGCAGATGTGGGGAGAATGCACAAACACCACACAAACAGTTACCCAAGACTGGAATCGAACACAGGGTTCCTGGCGCTGTAAGTCAGCAATACTTACTACTGAGCCACCGTGCCACCCAGGATCCTTTCACCCAATACCACTATTCCCACTGACCTACACTTCTGATTAGGAACATCTAAATTTTAAAATTCTCTTCCTTATTTTTAAAATCCCTCCATGACCTTAGCCCACCTGATGTCTGGAACCTCCTCCAGCTTCACAACTCCTGAGAGATTTACATCCTTCTAATCTGGCCCCTTTAGCATCCTCACTTTAATTCATCCCATCATTGGCAGCTGTGCCTTCACATGCCTGGGCCCTTGGCTCTGGAAGTCGCTCCCTAATCTTCCCAGCATCTCTACCCCACTTTCCTCTTTTAAGGTGATCCTTCACACTCCCACTTTGACCACACTTTACCCTTTTACCTAATATTTCCTTCTGTGGCTCATATTCATATTTTGGTTTATCACACTCCTGTGTAAGACCTGAGTTTTTTTTGTTATGTTAAAGGTGCTATATAAATGCAAATGAATGTTTTAGCATTTAGCAGATTGTAATGCAAGACTGTAGTCTTAATGAAAATATTTTTCTTGCAGTTTCTTGGGACATGGTTTACACTTGGAAATGGCTGTGATTGCCCTGAGTTCATTAAGAAAATTGAGAAAATATTGGCAATTAGCAAAGCAACATTCTCAACCAATGAGGAAATGAATAAACTCATCGTGAACTTTGTATATGATCGGTGAGGAGATTTATTTATACTTGACCATGATACTCAGTGATTAAAGTTCACAGGTGGGCTGCATGGAGGGTTTCTTTCTTCCATGGCAAGGCCACCATTTGTGGACCATCCCTAATTGCCCTTGAACTGAGGAACTTGCCAAGGGATTGCAGAGGGCAGTTAAAAGTCAACCACATTAATGTGTGTCTGGAGTGACATGTAGATCAGAACAGGGATGGACAGCTGTATCCTTCTCTAAAGGACGTTAGTGATTCACATGAGATTTGAACATCAGCATGGTTTCATTACCAGCAAGACTAGCTTTATAGGTATTTTCTAAACAACTTGTTTAGTGATGTTAGCACACACATCTGGAGCATTTAGCACTTGAATCCAGGTCTCCTGGCTCAGACATAAGGACACTACCATGAGCCTCCAGAGATTAACTAAATGTTCAATTTTTAATTATTTGAATGTAATATCTACCAGCTACACTGCAAAGAGTTGAACCCACTGCAAGCATTGTACAGGGGTTCTGAAATCTACGTCCAGTGACATTAGCACTTGCACCTTGTCACCACCCTATTCTTACACAGACACAGTAAAGGTATCAATAAGATGAGCTGGAAACACTCTACTGCATCAGCAGAAAGAACATGGCTAACGTTTCAGCTGCTAGACCTGACATCAGAACTGGCAGTGTAGTTTGTGGAAGTGGCAGGGCAGTGTGGGGAATTGGCTGTGCAGTGTTTGGAACTCCCAGTATAGAGTGTGAAACTGACAGCTCTGTGTTGGAGCGAAAAATGCAGTATACAGTGTGTGGAACTAAGCATGCATTGTGTGGAATAGAGCAGTGTGAAGAGTATGGAACTCAGTGCAGTGTGTGGAACTGACAGAGCAGTGTGGCGTGCACACTGAGTGGAACTGACGGTGCAGAGTGTGTAATTGAAGCAACAGTGCCTGGAACTAACAGTGAAGAGTGTGGAACTGAAAACAGTGTACAGAGCGTGGAACTGGCAGTGCAGAGTGTAGTGTTCAGAATGGTCACTGCAGTCTTTGGAATAGACAGTGCAGTGTACAGTGTATGAAATGTTTGGTGCAGTGTGCAGTGTTCAAATTATAGAATGGACAGTACAGTGTATGAATGGACAGTGCAGTGTGCAGTATATGGGATGGTCAGTGCAGTGTGTGGAATGGTCAGTACAGTGTGTGGAATGGTCAG